TCTACTTAAAGTTATTAATCTACGCGGTGGTAGCCTCCCCCCTTGCCTCCCCTGTGCACTACTAACGACTTACTCTTACTACTATATTATATATTACTTATGATCTACTTAAAGTTATTAATCTACGCGGGGGTAGCCTCCCCCCTTGTCTCCCTTCTCATCTAACACACGCACTCTCTCGTTCTCGTTCTCTCTCTTCATTTCCCGTTTCACCCGCTCTCGTTATCTCTGTCTCTCTCTCTCTCTCACCCCCCCCCATCTTCCTCCCTCTCCCTCCCACTCTCCCTCTAACTACTAACGACTTACTCTCCGCTCCCTCCACTTTCCGCTCGTCACCGTCGCCGCGGCTAGCCACTTGGTCGGGTGTGTACTCCTGTATGGATATGGTCCTCTGGGGAGGAGGCGGTCTCGGGGGGCGAGGCTTGGATGGCTTTACTCCACCCTCGGCTCCTGCGGGTAACTCCCCCGACTGCTGCTGCTGCTGCTGCTGCTGTTGCTGCTGCTGCTGTTGCTGCTGCTGCTGCTGTTGCTGCTGCTGCAAGGTTTTAACATGCTGCATTGTATTATATGTTAGCACACTATCTAGTGGTCAGACTAGCTGCCTAGAAGTAATGCATAAATATCAAACCTTTTAAATTAGCTTATATACACGCACGCACGCACGCACGCACGCACGCACGCACGCACGCACACACACACACATAAATATTTACATAACCTAGCTTCTGTACTGTAACTCTCTAATTTTTAAAATTAGATTAGAATTAGGCATAGTGTAAAACATTGCAGATGTTGACTTAATAGTGGATATACTGGAAATGCTGCCAATTTCTCTTGCGACTTCCTTCACATTACGATGCAAAACGAGAAAGATTTACTCATGGAGAATACGGATGTCCAAGATATATCAGTTTGTGGATCTTAATTCCTTATTAGCACTGACCTTCTGCTCCATTAGTTCTTTGAACGCCATCTTGTTTGCGGTTGCCATGGCAAGGCAGACGTCGTCTGCACCCGTGTTCGATTCGAACACGTGGCAGGCAAACTTCCTCTGCTTATCCTGATTGTCACTTGTCACAGTGATGAATCCAAATAACCTGTGCAGAGAACATCGCAGTCACCAAGGTTAGCTATGACGACTAGTGTTGTCAATCGGTTGTAATTTCGTAATCGATCTTCGGTTGGACCCAAGTAACCGATGATCGGTTACAATCGGTTACTCGGAGTGTTAAATGCGTGCGTGTGCGTAACGTCGTGCGCATGTACGTGTGTGCATGTATGTGCTTGTTTAGCCCTGTTTACTGTTTGTTTTGCACTGTTTACTACTGTGTGTATAATACATGTATGTTAATAAAGGATAACTTGTATAGTAGCGATGATAGCTCTGATTCTCATCACTTTTCCAAGTTTTCTTGTTCAAGTTTTACATTTATTTCGATTTTTTATTTTTTTTTCCCGATGAAATCGATTATGGATTTTGATAACCAAGCGCTTGGTTTGAGCCACTGTTCAACCGATGATCGAGTATAATCGATGATATCGATGATATGATAATGACGACTAATCAGCGATCATTGTTAACTTCACGTTATTGTTGAGTGTTGACATTGTGTCAAACGAATTGTTACAATATACAGTGAACTTTTAGAAATAAAGGTCATTATAATTTTTTTTTTAATACTTTTTTTTATAAGTTAGCTGTGATGGCTCATGGGCGATCCTTGTCGACCTTCACGTTATTGTTGACATTGTGTCAAAGGAATTGTTACAATATACAGTAAAACCCAGATTTTACGCGCGCTGATTTAATGCAAATTGAGTCATTGGACCCATGTTGTGTACATACACGTATGTATATATGCACTGATATTCTTGAACCCCGATTTAGCGCGTCCCCGCTTTTTTCGCGATGACATTTTATGGACCCCAACGACCGCGTTATAACGGGGCTACACTGTACATACACACACATAATATTGTATATATATACATATATGTTATATACTATAACTATTATTTGGTGCTGGCAGGATGTATATGTACCTTTGGAAATAAAGGTCATTATAATTTTTTTTTAAGTTAGCTGTGATGGCAGTTGCTTAATGATGAGACAGATTCGCCAGGTGAGTTCTACCACAGTACCGACCTGTTGTTATCCTTGTGCACCGACCAAAAGCAGACGTCGGCCATCTTGAATTCCGACCTCGCCACGTTTTTAGCGGAATCCACTAACCTAGAAAAAAAACCAAGTGCATTTCTACACAACCAGCGTTCGCAATAAGTGCCATCGGTTCTTTTAACATTTTAACGACATCTGCAGATATTCGATTAGTTCACATGGATGTCCATGTACACTCACATATAGGGCCTCACACTTCCAGATTGCTTTCAGCACTAGCTAGGGCACATCCAGATCCTTATACCTCTACTAGCTGGGCTACCCAGCGATGCCCGGGATAAAGGAGAAAAGAGCTAGAATTTAGTCTGCCGTCACGGCTGTACATCCATCCCTCTCCCTCCCCTTCCCCTCCCTCCCCCTCCCTTTTTCTCTTTTTTTCCCCTTATTTTTCTCCTTATTAGATAGACAGACGGATCCGGCCATTTATGTAGGAGGTTAATGCTGATACAGATAATATTAGCGAATGTGAATGAATACATTATCCTAACATGCTAAATAACTAAAATGACCAGCGTCAATAAACGTAATATGACGTTCCAAAATGTACCGCTCATTCGCGGGGCGCCACTGTCCAATGACGTTTTATGCATTGGATTGAATTAATTTTATTTCTTGCATGCCCCTCTCGGGCCATGGAAGAAAGACATAATTACATAATAAACATAGGAATCATATGAGAACATGAGAATATGACAACATTTGACAAACAATTAAAGAAACGGTAAGATTTAATAAATTTAACTATAGCACCCGGTGTGACATGACACCATAGATAGTTAACGTACATATACCCTCGGTTTTTTTTGTTTTGTTTTTCATATTTTGTTGGCTTAATTTGCAATTTTTTTTGGCTTAAACTGGTCGTCGCGTCATGCTGATTCAGAATATATATGGTGTTGGGGATCACCTTTTACGGGTCTCGAGAAGATAGACGGACAGAGTGACAGACAGATTCCCCCATTTATGTAGTAGATGGTATACTTCTAAGCTATGTTGCTACTTGTTGTGATGTTGTACTATTTTGTATAAGCATACACACCAAGGCGTAGGAATACACTGGTGTGTAGGAACACAACAACGAATGCTACGTAATTCGTCTCTACCCCGCCAGAATAAACTACCAGTTGTCAGGGGCATGTACAGGATTTGTACCAGGGGGGATCTAACCGTAACCCAAACTTGGGAGCACGCGAAGGGGGGGTCTGGGGAATTTTTTTGAAATTAGACCGCCCTTAAGATGCGTTTTCCTGTGCGAGCAGGGGGGGGGTCCGACCCCCTGGACCCCCCCCTGTACACACCCCTGGTTGTACACATAATACGCTCTCCGCACATCTAGTGTTATATCTTGTGCACAGAGTCATAACACTGTTATATATACACATCGAATAGTTGTATTCATAATTAGCCCGTGTTTGATGGAAATCCATATTTTTAGTATTAACCCACTTCCGGGCAGGGGCGTAGCTACGGGGGCCCCCACAAATTTTCTGTGCCCCCCCCCAGGTGACCCCCACTTAAAATTCATGCTTGATAAAAAAAATTTGAATTAAAAACAATGCCATTAGAACAGTAATAACACATGAAGAAGGTTCGAACCACATCTCATAATAAATTATATATTGTGGCCCCCCCCCACGAAAAATGTAAATGCTCCCCCCAGTGCCCCCCCGCTGAAATTTTTTAGCTACTTTATGGCTACTTGCGCGAGTTTAGCTTTCATTATGTATCATCATGGTTAATAGGCGCAAACGCCGTGTAAATACAGAACACTGCTTAGGTCGAGAATTTTTTATTTTGTTGGTTTACAGATCCGCTGACCGAATTTCAAGAAAAACGAAAAAAAATAAAAATTGAAAATCTGTATTTTTTTCCCGCCGACCATTTCTCTAAGAATATATGATAATATAAATTTTAAATGTAAAAAACAAAAACATTTCATAAACAAATAGTTTATAATAAAAGTAAAATATATTACAAGTTGAGTTTTGTTTTCATTTAGTTTTCTTAAAATACTTTAATATCATGTATAACAGTATCACTGTATTTTGACTTGTTTGATCTGACAAAACAACATTTTTTATTTTTTATTTTTTTACCCTACCGAGTCAACAACAACAGCAAAAATTCTGTAAACCAACAAAAGAAAAAATGGTGGCCTTACCGTATGGAGTGCATCGAGATGACCATTTGACACTCGAACATGCGGTGGACGTTGTGGAGAGCGCGGGCGGCCATGATGTGCTGGACCGTGTCCTGCACTAGCTGCTCTCCTGTTCATATAGCAAAGCATCAATGTCAGTCTCACTGTGTATTAAACCCCACATATGGTCAGCATACACGTGCATGCACACATACACATACTTTACTCATACACGTACACCCACTCTATACGTACACATACACAGGAACGCACACATACGTGAATATTATTATACCAATCATACACATACATGTGTTCATACAGGCCCGTAGCCAGCTTTCTATNGCCACCCCCCACACACACACTCACCTCTATCTGACTTCACTTCCATCGAGCCGCAGAATCGCACCGTGTACGCCTGACGGCACGCTCCGCCATGTTTGTCCGTCGCAGACGACTCGCTGCCCGACTGATCGAACGGATTGATCCGTCTGCAATTGCGACGACAAGAGCATAACATGTGGCGCCCCCAAGCGGTGGGCGAGGTGTCAACATTTAGCGCAGTGACGCGACAGCTAGTAACATGTAGATCTACTAATGTAGCACGTAACACTTCCACGAGTAATGTAAGAATGCGAAAATGGCAGAGGAATATGTATTTAGAGAGAGAGAGAGAGAGAGAGAGAGAGAG